TTGCAGGATGCTTTTAGCTCACTCACCCACTGAACATCTGCACACCGAGATAAAGCAGAAATTTAAGTTGGTGTTGTAGTTGAACTCAGCTACCGTGCAACATTACAGCTTCTCAGTTCTCTTAAGAAGGAATAGGAAAAGGAACCAGGTCAACAGAAAATCTCTGCTTGTCTGTAATCACCCTCTGCCGGTTAATTTGGACCGTGAAGATGAATGATGTCAAGATAATACATTTCCATGGCGCCAAACTATTATTTATTTGTTTTAGGAGAATAATCACGTCCATTTAAGGGATTAAATCTCGAGTCCTCCTCTTCATCCTGATCCCATTTAGTTAATTTGGTCTTCCAAAACCTGATTCCAATGAAGTTGTCTCTTGTGTAAAATGTAAATAAAAATGATTTACAATGATTTGTAAATCCACCATCGAATAAACTACAAAGTCAAGATTTTTACATCCCCCCCCCCCCCCCACGTATTCACCCATTTTGAATTTGATGCCTGCCACATTCAAAACAAGTTGGGACAGGCACATATTTAACGCTGTGTTACATCACCTTTTCTTTGAACAACACTCACTAAGCACGTGGGAACAGTGGACGCGTATTTTTCCCCATTCTTGCTTGATGTACAGTTTACCTTTCATTTTTTAAGTTTTTATACACACACACACACACACACACACACACACCTCTCTCTTGTGTGTGTGTGTGTGTGTGTGTGTGTGTGTGTGTGTGTGTGTGTTTCAGCATTAGAGGTGCTTTCACAGATGTTGAAGTTACCATGACAGGGGCACTAATCCCAAACCATCACAGATATTGGCTTTTGAACTTGCTGATAGCAATCCGGATGGTCCTTTTCCAAATCCATGATTTCTCGGAGCAATTTCAAATATGGACTTGTCAGACCACAGCACACATTTCCACTTTGCCTGAGGTCATCTTGGTTCATGAGCTTGAGCCCTGAGAAACAGGCCATGTTTCTGGATGTTGTTGATGTATATCTTAATTGTGTTTTCTGTCAATGGTTTTCTTTTTTTGCACCATGGACTGGTTCAAATAAGTATAGGCCTGAAAACCATTCTCAGATGTGGGTGAGTGTTGGTGGTTTTGGGCTATAAAAAACAAAAACAAACAAACAAACCAAAAAAGTGATTATTATGACAGCATCTTGTCGTTTTTAAATTGTAATTTTTTAAATAGATGCACAGCCTTGCAAAATGTATCCGGCCCCAGATGATTTTATTTTGTGCAACCACTTGATGATATCAATTTGATTAAATTCATCAAAAACTTTGTTCAGTGTATGTTTGGCTTGTTATAGGGTTGAAAAAGTCATTCTGCACGCATCAAATTATTTAGCTTATCACATACTGGTATGTGATAGCAAACATTACCAGTAGTCATTGTGCAAACGGCCAAGTTACTCGGATGGGTTTGTTCATATCTGCTTATCTGATTCTGAAAAAGTTCTATCTATTGAATCATGCGGAGAAACTATTTTATTGAGCCTTGTTAATGGTCTGATTATACCATATGTAACTTTGTCTGGTTGATTTCTATCTTCTGAAATAAACTCAGTCTGTGATGACAAGTAGAAAGTAGGTCACTTCATTAAATATTTGACTGATACGCAGATTGTGTTCGGGAAGTGAAGTCAAAATTTTACTTTACAATAACATTCTGTGCACCTCCACTCTTCTTAACACTGCATTGTGATTATTTTTGCATTTGTGCAGCAGGTATTTTTCTCCATCTCAGGGGGTTGTAATCGCACTGTCGATTGAAAATGACATCATAGTGGCTAAGGGCGCAGGAAATGGCCCGTCATGTTGAGCTCACTGCTTTCTGGTTTGGATCATGTGACATTTGTTCAGCCCTTAGGCACTGATATCGTTTTCAGTCGACAGCAAGAGGCAGTACAAGGCAAAATGGCCACCCTCTGAGATAAATAAAAACATTTCTTTTCTCCTCAATTCATATTCCACAAACGCAATAACCAGACCATTGGGTGCGCATAGAACATTGTAAAGACTTTTTTTTTTTTTGACTTCTCCTTGAATCTGTTTTTGCAGGTTTGTGTATGAACAAATCAAATGATTCATTACAAGGATCATTCAAACCAAGGACATAGTAGAACCATGTTTAGAGTGTTAACTACACTCTTTGGGTTTTATCTTTCATTCTTATTAAATACTTGGATGAAAAGTAACCTGACAAAACCTGAAGCCTGTTGCGGCTAGTGCCCAGTTCAGTGTTTATCGTATCACTCCCAAGAGCATTGATTCTCACCGCACTGTGCCGTCACTGTCGTATTTACGGTTTTCTGCCTCTTCCGTCGAAATTAACCTCATTCCGGACTTCCTGCCTACCCTTGTGGCGGCTAGCTTTTGTTTTCCTTCGAGTATCATTATACACAATAAAGCATACACCGTGGAGCACAGGTGTCAAACTCCAAGCCTGGTGTTTGCATTCCTCGATCCCCCAACTAATTTACCATCCTATTCTTCTTCCCATATGCTGAATATTCAATATCTAATAACTGCCTTCACCTCGTTTTGTCACATTATGCACATTAACCGCTGCCTATTTGGATTGTCAACATTGGTTTAGAAATGATACTTGATGACTGGAGTATTTATTTTTGGCGGGCAGCCATAAATTTAAGAGCAGTGAGGAAAGGAGCAGAAAGGAGCTGCGTATTGTCACATTGACGGTGTATTCAACTTGTGAAGAAAACAAAGGGGGGTGACACATGAGGCAGAAATGCAAGAGAGGCTGAGTGGAATTGATGAGGAGGGGAAGATAATAGGAGCAGAGGGGAGGTAGCTGTTGTCGAGGCGATGTTCACAGTAGTCATTAGCACCTGTGAAGAAGATAATGAGGAACACACATGACTCGGCATTATGTTCAATCAAGATGGAATACCTACAGTGCCAACTTTGACAAAGAAACGATAAATTGAGGTTAATATTTTATGACCAATCTTTGCATTATGAGTTCTACTGCTCTTCCCACCCCTAATTTGCTGTCTTGCTTTTTCAGTCCCATTGAAGTATATCTTAAGTTGAAATATAAATTGAGGTTAATATTTTATGACCAATCTTTGCAATCTTTGCATTGTGAGTTCTACTGCTCTTCCCACCCCCTAATTTCCTGTCTTGCTTTTTCAGTCCCATCGAAGTATATCTTAAGTTGAAATCGTTTTTTTTCTTCTTAAAAGTAAGTAACTTTTATATACTTTGTGCTACTGCAATTAACTCTTAACTCTTATTTCCTGTCTTGCTTTTTCAGTCCCATCGAAGTATATCTTAAGTTGAAATCGTTTTTTTTCTTCTTAAAAGTAAGTAACTTTTATATACTTTGTGCTACTGCAATTGACTCAAACATTTGCCAGGGCAATACGATTCTCCACCTAAATGTTTCTTTGCAGCAGGGCACACAAACAAAAAAAGAAAAAGGCAATCAGCTACTAAATTGCAAAGTCCACCCATTTTTTTTATTAAAATATTCACACACCATAAAAATTACATGTACAAAACTATAACATTTCAAATTGATTTATATACACATACAAAATATAAAGACCAAAGCAGAAAAAAAAGGGCACACATATTGTAAGGGAGGTGTGTTGGTAAGAGTGGAGAATTTTTTGTGTGAGTCTCTTCGACAACAGCTTAAAAGAATGAAGGATCTTTCTCTGGAGCAGGTATTCTTCCAAATGATCTGTGATGATGATGATGATGATGAAGCAAATGACCATGATTTCAATGGAGACAGACTTGAGGGGTACAAATCAGAGACAGTACTTATTGATCATAAATTCCACCTGCATGGGCCAAAGCATGAGGAGGATGAAAGAGATACTCGTGACGGTCATGCGTCAAAATACTCAAATGGAAATCTCTCTCGGAGAAATCAAATGAAACTCATGATTAGACTTCAGATAATTCATTATGGGCGCACACTCCAATATATGGTAACAATAATGATGTGATTACCATGTAAATGGAGCCCAGACCACCGAAAACAATGCCGTGTACAATTTGCAATCATAAACATTTGTCCCGCACTTGAAAAGATTCAACAGCAGTAAATGACAGTAGGGCTCGGGCTTAAAAAGAAAGATGATACAGCTTTCTTTCATTTTTTTTAAACTGTGTTTTTATCTTCAGACATGACTGATGATTTGGGCCTGAAAAGAGAAAAAGAAGATGAATTAATATTGCGCTTTCATTTAATCCAGAGTACATTTTTTGCTCTCGCAAATTCTTTTTTGAATAGTAATGTTAAAGATAACATGACACATGGTTTGTGTGTGTACTGGTGTGTGTGTGTGTGTGAATATATACACAAGAGACGGCATGGAAAAATGAACAAAGTCATACTCATAGATTGATTCATACAACCTAAGTGGACAAAATATGTACAACATCAATATTCCATTTACATCAGATGTTTGCAAATGTCCGCGACAAACATAATTCGAAAATGTTTTTTTTTTTTTCTCTTCGACAAGAGCTTAAAAGAATGAAGGATCTTTCTCTGGAGCAGGTATTCTTCCAAATGATCTGTGATGATGATGATGATGATGAAGCAAATGACCATGATTTCAATGGAGACAGACTTGAGGGGTACAAATCAGAGACAGTACTTATTGATCATAAATTCCACCTGCATGGGCCAAAGCATGAGGAGGATGAAAGAGATACTCGTGACGGTCATGCGTCAAAATACTCAAATGGAAATCTCTCTCGGAGAAATCAAATGAAACTCATGATTAGACTTCAGATAATTCATTATGGGCGCACACTCCAATATATGGTAACAATAATGATGTGATTACCATGTAAATGGAGCCCAGACCACCGAAAACAATGCCGTGTACAATTTGCAATCATAAACATTTGTCCCGCACTTGAAAAGATTCAACAGCAGTAAATGACAGTAGGGCTCGGGCTTAAAAAGAAAGATGATACAGCTTTCTTTCATTTTTTTTAAACTGTGTTTTTATCTTCAGACATGACTGATGATTTGGGCCTGAAAAGAGAAAAAGAAGATGAATTAATATTGCGCTTTCATTTAATCCAGAGTACATTTTTTGCTCTCGCAAATTCTTTTTTGAATAGTAATGTTAAAGATAACATGACACATGGTTTGTGTGTGTACTGGTGTGTGTGTGTGTGTGCGTGTGTGTGTGTATATACACAAGAGACAGAATGGAAAAATGAACAGTCATATTCATAGATTGATTCATACAACCTAAGTGGGCAAAATATGTACAAAATCAACATTCCATTTACGTCAGATGTCTGCAAATGTCCACGACAAACATAATTCGAAAATGTTTTTTTTTTTTTTGCATTTAGAAATTGATGTCTGCCATTAAATCAACTTCCCTGATTGATGCTCAGACATCTATGTTCCGTACAGTGGTTAAATGTTTTCCTCTGTGCAGCCCGGTGAACCTTCGCTGATTAGCATTCTCGCCATAGCCGCAAAAAGTCTGCTTTGCATTGCTGCCATAACATTGCAGAGTTGCTTCACTGCTCACAATCTCTTCAATCACATCACAAAGTTGGGATTCACATTTCCCATTGCTTTGAATCCTTTTCTAAGAGCTCGGTTCATCTTGACTCATCTGGTCTTGCCAGACAATATCTCTGTTTTTTTCCCCAGTAATTCTGACAGAATCTGTCTGAGTCTTTCATTACGTCTCAACATTTGGAGTCTGTATATTGTCTTCTTTAACGTGTCCAGTTTCTTTCTCACCCGAGGTCTATCCAGGGTTGTCTTTGCAATCTCTCCCTCTCACAGCTGACATCTTTGTCTTTCTCGTTTTCAGCCTTACTGGCCTTTCCTGTGTCAGCAGCAGGGGGATGTTGTCAAGATGGTTTCATTTCCGAGCTATCTTGACATCATCACACTTGACACCAGTCTAATTCTTGAAAGGTCTCACCGCCTCTATGATAGGGCCCCCCAAAAATTGACACTAACAAGAAAAGGTAACCTAATTTCCTGATTGTCCAATTCAGCCTGGCATTTTACATTAGACTCAAACTCAGCTTTACTATATACGCTCTAAAAGTGCCACAACAGTAGGAGGCGAGAGAACTCTAACCCTCCATTTTCAAATGCTGCACACTGCATCACCAGTTCATCCCGCTCATCAGCAAATGCACTGCGTCTGCATAATTACTAACCTTCTAATTACAGAATCGCGGGGATCAGTAGTACGCCATAACATTGCACCTGAACAATAATAGAATTACCACTAAAATTTAAAATAAACAAAATGCTGACAACATTCACTTCGATCGGGTGTCTATAAAAAAAGAGACAGAAGGTCTTTGAAATAGTTGCAGTGAGTAGGACGTGATGCAAACAGGTATTCCTCATAACAAATCCCAAAGGTGCTGAAATGTTTGCATGGTGAGAAAATACCGCCATTTAAAATTCAGCAATTCAAATCATTTTATTTCTCAATACTGGCAGAAAATTTGCATTTCTTTCAAGGTCGCTTTCGGTCAGCGGTCTCAAACTCACGCCCCGGGGGCCATTTGCATTTTTGTTTCGGTTTTATGTTGCCCTGGGTTTTTTGTGTGTGTGTGTGTGTGCGTGTGTGTGTGTGCGCGTATGTTTAATCACTTATAGATCAGGCTCTTGACAGCTTTTAGTGAAATGTAATTTTGAAGTGATACCAAGAGGAAGGAAAAGATATCCTGTCAGCCAGTCATGTTTTTTTAAATTATTTTTTTTAAACCTATAATGAAAAGAAAGGTTGGGGCTTATTACAGCAAATTTCAAGAAAAACAGGCGATGGGATGTGATTTTATTTATTTATTTTTGGAGCACAGGGGGAACCCGGCATTTCTTGAACACACAAGAGAAAGTTGATCAGATGGCACGACTCAACAAGACATGCTGGGGAGGCTGCGAAAGGCGACGAGAGGGAGGGCTGGACCACCAATTTTGTTCAGGTTCTGAAGAACCATGAATATTCTGAACTCCTGTTCATAAAGATTGACGAGATTAGATTAGTTGTATTTTTATTTATTTATTTTTCCTCGGACCAGACACATCCAGGGAATCTCAAGCGACAACTTCATGGATTGAGTTTGAGAACCCTACTTGGGGGTTATTATAAATTCACAGCTTTGCGGATGTTTTTTTTTTTTTTTTGTCATGGTTTTGATTTTTGTTTTGTTGTTTCGGTTTCTGGACACTTTTTTTTTTTTTTCTTCTGTGACAGGTCATTTGTTTTTCAGTTAAAATGTTGACATACACAGTGTGTATATAGAGTCTGTAAATGGAACGCTAGACTATACATGGTGTAACAACATGTACAGTGCGTATTATGTCAATATGCTTCCAGATCAGGATGTATCTCACATCCCAACATAACAAGGCACATTAGTCCTCACCTCAACTGAGCCACTACGCTCTCTTCCATTTTCCGCAGCTTTATCTTACTCCCCGTTAATTATCCTTTGCTTCTTATTTCTTGTCCTCCTCCCCGTTTTTTATAATCCTCCTCTTTCTTCCTCTCTTTCCTCAATTTCCATGAAATAAAGCTGCTTATCATGTTCAGCTTTCCTTCCATATTCTACTCCGCAGCAACACGGTTGAATCCATAAAGCCACATTTCATGATAAGCTATTAGTGGAACATACAGTATGTACAGTGTAATACATTGATGTAGTACCAGGGGGCCATATCGATCTATAATGAGAAAGTTTGTGTACGTACAGTCGTTTGTAGATGAACCTCAATCAATTTTTTTTTAACTTATTTTCTGCTATCTCAGTGTCTCTCTCGTGCCGTATTATAAACTAAGAAGAAATCTTTTGATATTATGATTCACTCTTGGCTGAGTTGTTTGGTCGTTTGCGTTGTATATCTGTTAGCAATACTACATTGATGGAAAGGGCATTGTAAACATGATTTCCATTTCCCCTGTTTTTGCCTTCCAACCGAACTTCCGGCATCGTTCGTGTCATTATGTTGAGGTGTGATATCAATTCAGGTTGGATCGATGCTGATGGCCACATGAATGGAAAACGGTGTGTATCCACTGTGAGCCACAGAGCCCAATGTCATTTGCACATTTGTCCAAGCAAGAGCCGATGCACGAGACAAAGGCACCTGTTTGTGGAAAAACTAACTCGTGTTTGCACAGCCACGTGCATCCTCAGCCACGGGATGTATCATGTCGTATGGTATTGCCAATCAGACCATATGCAGGGAGAGCACTCCCCGACATTTAGGTTGCGATAGCAATGCATGTCTCCGTTGCTCTCAACGACAACGGAGACAATAAGGGGGTGTTTTGCATGCTGTAGTTCACACTACTGTGCATGTACGTCAAGTACGAAGGACAGACAACGGTGAGAGCTACCGACGCAGTTTTGAAAGAAGGGCAAACCTTCAAAAAAATTCAACAATGACTGATTGAGTACGAAATAAATTGTCAATGACTGCGATCGTCAACGTAATCAGGACAAGCCGGCCAATCTTGGGATTTCAATTTGAAATACAAACCGCCAAAGTGGCAAATGGGAGTTGCGCTGTCATCTACCACAGTTGAAATTCACCCGCATTTGATCGATGTTTATATCAAGCCCTGATTGTGACTCGGACTACCTCTGAATACTGTATGCCATTTATGAGAACATTAAAGAATTGATGTTTATTTGTGACAAAATAGTCACTGATTTTACTCAAGCACGTCCAAAGTCCAGTCCAGTGGCCAATTGCAGCCACTGGACTCTGACATAAAGTTAATAATGTGTGGCCCGTCAGCAATGTTGACCACAACATTGACCAAGCTATTTCATAATTCACTAGAAGACCCGTGGCCGCGCTCGTAGGCGCTTTTTTTTTCTCAGAGTGGGTTCTGCCTCTCCGAAGACAACACTCTCAGAGTCACGTTGGACGTCAGAGTGAATTTAGGAACATACCTGTTTCTCTTGCTGTATGACCCTCGTGTGAGTCTTTCCAGCCCATTTCCAAAATGGAGACTGCTGCAAAGAAAAGGAAAAGTTGATCGAGAGGACCGTCACTTCCAGGACTAGTAGAAATTGGCAAGTTTTTTTTTCCCCACTAAAATACGAAACGACTGTGACTGTCTAATTCGCCAACACACTGCGGCTGTTTTCAAGGAATTCAATATCAAGAGGCATGACCGGATGAAATATGGAAACTATGACAAGGTGGCTGGAAACAAACACCGTGAACAATAAAAGTAATTAGAAGCTGAATGATCGGCTCCCCAGACATTTTCACCCCACCAAATCTGACCCACTTTGCAAAAAGTTTGGACACCTCTGATTTAAACGAAGACAATGGAACATGGTAGTTCAATACATGAATGGTTTGCATAAAAACAGGTTTGGTGTCTGAAATATAATCTTGAATTGTTGTGTTTGTTCAGATCCACCTTAACTGGAAAGTACCGGTAATACAAAGAGAAAAAAAATCTTGTGTTTATTGAGCAGACACTGTTTCAGAGGTCTTTTCACAAGACTCTGTTCTCGTACTGTGCGGCCATATCTGCTGTAGCCCCTGTCTTACCGTCAGTGTGTCACAATTTGTTTCTGTGACCAAAAATATGCAGCCGGTACTTTTTGCACTGACACATTTACAAGAGAGGAGCTAGACTTTCAGCCTCAAATCCTCAGCTACTGTTGTGTGCAAGACAAAAATACATTCAAGAATGAGACATCTGATGGACAACAATCATGGAGACAGAGAAGGAGAAGAGAGTGTGAAATCCACATGAGTCAGACACCATAACAGCCAAACAATAGGGAGTAACGCATTTTTTTTTTTTTGCTGCATGTTGAGAAATTGTCAGGGAAGTGTAGTAACACAACACTTCGTTTAGCAAGAATGATTCCCTTTATTGTCTAGCTGACAGTAATTAGAGGGCATTTAAATAGCACCCGTCCAGTAACTGTCGCAGGACACGACGGCAAGTGTTGCCGTGTTTTGGAATGCGAGCCAGAGTTGTTGGACGGACAGGGTGACTGTCAGTGGGTCACTGCATGAAACACTAATTAAGCTGCCTGAGTCTTTGGGTGACACAACCTCTCAGTTGTCTGCTTGGGTTAATGGGCTGATTTGAATATTACTCACCTGGATTAAAGAGGACCCTGAAACAGGGGGGCAGGGGAGCTTTTGAGGTCTTACAGTTCCTTGAAGGTCCAATCCAGTGGAAATGGGCAGGGCCAGATTAAAATATTTTTGACTGGCATAAAAGATGTTCTGCTTGGCGTAGTCCAGTTTTGTTTGTGCCAGATTAGTGACAGAACAGTTCCCATACACATCCACGACCCAGGCAAAGCTCCTCTTTCTCTGAGAGTCAATTCTTCATTCTGGAGGTATGAATTGTCCGGAATGAACCACTGGATACAAGGGCTGTGTCAAAGTTGAAATCCATCTGACAGCAGCACATCGGCCTTTCGCAAAGTTGCGTTTGGGGAGAAGGGATAAATGTTGATTTTGCATCTGTCGGTGCTCCTCATGTCAGTTGCAATCTGGGTTATTAATGTATGAGCAGTTTTTACATCCAAAATACCAGTGGTGAGCATATGGAAGTCGATCCAAGTTGAAGGGGATTCTCAAGGCAGCCAGTCTACTTTCATCATCCGCTTGGTACTTGTCCAATCGGGGGAGAAGATCATTTACAGGATATTCAATACGCATTTTATGTCAAGACATCATTTGTTGCCACCGTTTTCAGTTGTTGCTTTTTTTTTTTTTTTTTTTAAAATAGTACGCCATACTGCTG